ATCGTAATATATTCTCGCGCGTTCCACACAAAAAGATAATCCTTGTTCTTGAACTTGTAATCCAAATCTCATTTCAAACAATTGTACAATTATAAATACAATTATAAATAAAGGATTCAATAAAATTTGTTGTCTCGAAACGAAAGGAAGAGAGAAGAGACGGAAAGAATACGAGCGAATCGAATCGTCGGTAGGCGATATTAACGAATTCAGAACGAATACGTTCGGATGTTAGATCGGCGGCGTAGTGTCACGTTACTTCGCAATGCTTCGGAATGCAAAATCGCGGCGACGAACGAGCTAGTCTCGTTGCTTACGAAGGCCTCTCTCGGGTCGCTTCAAAATGTCGAAACACCGAGATCCCGGCCCGAGGAACTGGAGAACCGACACGGTGCACGGACTCAAATTCGCACTCCGTTGCGTTTTCGTCCATTATACGCGATCTTCCTTTTTCCTTTGCATTTTGTAATATAATATTTGCCATACGCATGTAAAAGTGTTAATTTAAATTTCTTTTGTGAAGAATGATTCTCGGTTAGCTCGATTCTCTCCGTTCATTTTTTTTCTTTTTACGCGCTCGTGAAATTATTTAAATTATGCTGAAATTTTCACCCATTTTTCTCTGATTTTTTGGTTAATTTTTTTTTTTTTATATAAATAGATTTGATCATGATACAACGTTCGATCGAATGTCCTCTCACGAGATGTAGATCTCTATCTTTAATTTTGATTTTTAATTTTTCAGTATATATATATTTCGTGATCGTTAAAGAACTTGTACAACTACTTTTTATACTTTTTATATCGTTTATTTATTCAGTTTTATACTTGATATTTTTGAAAATCGATAACAATATTCTGCTATTCAAAATTTAGATGAATATTTGTTTTAAATCTCGTTTCAATTCTATCCAAAATTTTCATCTGTCGTAAAATTACGAAAATTACGAACGAATACAATTTTTAATAAGTAAGTTTCTTCCAACTATCCTTAAAAATATCCATAACTCCCCCCATTAATTCCGTAACAAAATGAAATATTTATATCACAGTAGACTCTCGCCTTTTAATTAACCAACGGGATATACGATCTCATTTGTTTGTCCCAAATAAACACGAATCGCGTAAAGTAAGCAATTTAGGGGATAATTTCGTGATTTACGATTCAGTAAGTATATTCGAAGTGAAAATAAATCAAAGAAGGCTGGAATTGTAATAACAGCGAATGAATTGAAAGGAAAACAATCACTTTTGCTAGGGAATCGGTTATATAGAATAAGAAAAGCTGGTTTTAGAATATCTATACTTATCCAGAATTTATTTACAAAAATTTTCATTGTACTTCTTATATTTGTTCGTTCACTTCGTTCAATAGGTAACGAATAACCGACAAGTAAGAAAGATAATGATCGGATATAATGTTTCATCGATCGATCTCGCAAGGAAAGACTCGTTGTCCTTCGTTTTTAGAAAAAAATTTTTGATTCATGGATACTCGATACATTCGACGTGGAACAAATTGCGGGAAAATTGAGTTGCGTATATTATTCATTATTTATTGGTATCTATAAATATTCTTACCGGATAGAATTTTTATGAAAATTTTTTTTACATCATCAAATTAATATTTTTTTAATTAAGTTCGTTTCTGGAATTTCGATGTTTCGATTTTGTAAATTTATTTTGTTTGGAAAAATTTCTTCGATAAATATAATTCATAAAATCGAGATACTCCATTCACAGCTAATGTTAAATTACTAAAAATTTTTCAGATAATATCAGTTGATAAATCAAATTACCCTACTTTGGAAAACATGACGATAATTTTCTATCAATTTTATTGACAATCGCTATCAAAAAGTTCAATTGTACATTCATTTTTAGCGTAAAGAAGAAAATCAAAATGCATAAAAAAGGGGAGGAAAGAGGAAGAAATTTATTTCAGAATCGAGGTGAAAAAATAAATGATAAGATAAATGAAGATGAATTCGTTTCAAAGAGATCACACGGAATTATTTTCAAGACGAGAAACATTCAGTGACATCTTGTTTAAGAAAGAAAAAAAAAATGGAATGTGACAAAATGAAACATGCGATTTCCCTTTCGAGAACGCGCTGGTCAACTTCCGCCTGTTATTATCGATTTTTAATTAAGTTCGGAGCTCGATTACAAGAAGCCGCGAAGCTCGTTTAACCTTTATTTACGGCCTTCGATGTTAATGCATGAGAATGCAACTAATTTACAAGCAAAATCGCCAGAATGAAAAGAAAAGATGAAAGAGGAATAGTGATTTTTTTCGAAACTTGTTCGTAAAACGAATGGATCAATCGTGATTTTTATTTTGTTTAAAAAATTGCTTTCAACTTCTTAAAAAAAATCTTTTATTTTTAATTACAAAAAAAAATGAAAAAACTGTACGAGGTGAAAGAGTTTTGTGTAAAATAGAAATATAATTCAAAAATTCAATTTTGTTATTATATTTTTTTTTATATAGTATTCTTTATTTGATTTTCTGCAATTATGACATTATTCGAAATATATTTCAATGCTATTTCTATTCTATTATATCCTATATATATAAAATTTCTTCTATCTTATTTATAAATTAAAAATTATAATCTGAAAATTAATTTTATATGCAAAGTATCGGTAAAAGTAATACATTTGATGTAAGTAAATTAAACCAAATGCAACTAGACTTAATCGAACTTTTGTTTCACGATTTCTGAAAAAAATTAAGGATTTATGTGACTTGATAATATTGATGCAACCTTGATGCAATGTTATATCATTATTTTTTAATGTTATATCATTCCGCCTCGCGTAACCTTTCCATAAAGTTCGTACAAACGTGATACTCGACGATATGATAAAATTATTTCCCTTATTAGCAAAAGTTAACATTACCATAGAATAATCTTATCTGTTTCAAGCTATTTTACAAGTAATTTATTTGGATTCTCATAAATAATATATGAAGATAACATACCTCTTAATTCTACTAAAATCATTGAGTCTCAAATATCTCAATCTTTCAAAAAAATTGTAACAAAAATAGTGTAATTAGCGAAATTAATAATTATAATGACTGAGCTATTTTTTTTCCTAATAGATATAAATTTAATTTATAAAAGAAAAGAAATAAATTAGATTAGTTACAGATTAATCTATTTTTCCTATTGATAATGTTAAAGATATGAATGTTTTAATATTCTAAAGAATTAATCGGTAAATATTTACTTCTTAATAAAGATAAATTGCAAAATAAATATTGCAAAATATATTAGTTTCTGTTAAACTATTTTTTTATAAAAAATATTAATATATTAATATTATAATTTAAATAAAGAAAAATAATTACTTAATTGATAAAAATAATATATCTTTCTTTTTTTTAATATTTACTAAAATTATAAAAATCGCAAATAATATTTGACAATATATATTTCAAAATTATTTGTGAAAATATGAAAATATAAATTTAGATGGAATAAAATAAAATAAATAAAAAATAAATGGAAGATAAGTCAAATAAAATTATCATTATATAATACTTGATCCTATTTCAATTTTTAATTAAACTTTTAAGAAAAATCGCATGAATTAAAAATTTTTCTATTTATCGAATTTGCAAAATTTTGATAATTGAACGATAAATAATTATCTGCATCTTATGTTTTATATCATCATTATTGACCTTTCTTTTAAATGGTCAACTCGTGACGTTCGTAAAATTTAAAAAAAAATACATACGAGAAAATGAAAGAGACATGCACAAGAAAATACCAGTACGAAAATAACATGAACGAAAACAGATTTAACAGAGCTATATTGTTGAATGTCTCTCTTTGAAATATCATGAAAAGTTAAAATTTAAATAAAAAAGGAAAAATCGATCAATTTTGATGAATAATCTTGGTCTTTAATGTATAAGTATGATTCGACGATAAAAAAATAGAAAATATAATATCGATATATATAATGTTACTATAATATTATTATAAATAATTTTAAAAAAGAAAAGAATATATAATAGAATCTTCGAAAAAAAAAAATTTGAATTTTCTAGCACTTTCAAATTTCCGCGCCAAAAATGCAGCATGTTTTAATTGTCAATGTCAATGGAACGAAGAAAATTTATGAATCTATTATATCTGAATCTATACTAACTGTACTAGAATAAAAATATAAATAAATATTACAGAAAATTACAACGAATCTTTTTTTTCACGCAGACAGCCATTTTGTTAAAAATCATTGACACAATTGCATATTTAATTCATGCCGTTCTTATTGGTTAAGATATGAAACAATTCTTACCTTTTATTATATGAAGAAACTTCGTACTGCATAATATGCTTTTAATGTTTTTTTTCAATATTCATTTATCAATATTCTGTATTCATTTCTTCGAATTCTTGATTTCACGAATATATAAAAATCCTGACAATCGAATTTCACTCGATATACGGAAGATATACTTGACAAACAAATAATAAACTATTTCCACAAATTTTAATATCGATATATTACATTTTTCTGTAATAAAGAAAACGTCAATCGCGATATTATACACAATTTTACCACAATATTTCAAACTACAAATTCCACTGCGACATATTCGACACTGATCGAAAGTGACCGTGACTTGTTACATTACTAACAACCAATTAGACTATTTCCCTCCAAAATAGCGTGGAGCAAATATGAACTACGTATATCGAAAGTTTCGACTTTTAATCGATAATTTATTTATCACATCTTTATGTCATGACAAGACAGTAATTGTGCATTTATGCGAAATTGAAAAATGCAAATATATTTTATGTTCATAAAAATATAAATTTGCACAAATGTTTAGGCTAATCATGACTAAATTTCTATAAAATATTCCTACCATACGATATATTAAAAAAGAAATAATTATCGATTATTTCGAATAATCGATTGATCCACGTGTTTCTCAACTAGCGAAGCACCTGCTGTAGAATCGAACCTACCTCTCGATTCGCGATCGGTGTTCCAAAGATCGATATCGATTGTCCGGAACCACAGAGTCTTCTCTGACACTTTTCGACGTCACACCGTAATATTTCAACGGGGAATTCGAAGATTGTACAGAGTGAACCGTAGATGAAACTCGCGTAAAGATGAACGAAACGGCGAATCGTGTGTCGAGGATGACGAAGAAAGAAATGAACTGAAAACACGCGACACGAGCCGCTAGCACGCACCGACTGAACGTGGACGCGAACAGACTGGTATCGGCCACGGGCAGCAGTCTCCCTAACAACATCATCCCCACCACAGTACCATTCAGATGAATTTTTATCTAGACCGTTATTCGAATAGAATTGTGTCCGTGTATACAAGATTCAAAATTTGCATCGAATAGTACTGTAATTCAAATCAAGTGCTTCTATTCTAATAGTAGTAAATAAATTTTACAGGATCGAATGTTTTCGATCGATAAACAGTTTTTTTTAATATGATTTGAAGAGAAAAGTTAAATATTGTTGTTTATGTGTGAATGTGTATAAACTTTTTAGTATTAAAATAAAACGGTTTTTATTAAAAATATATTATAAATAAGAGATGTTTGAAAATTAAAATTATCATTTTTATAGTGAATACTTTTTTCTTTTTCAGGTGAGTAAATCTTATTATTTATATTGACTTATAATATTATTTTAATATATATAAATAATAGAATGTAATAATAAAATAAATGAAGTAGAATAGATAAATAGAATTAAAAGTATTTAGTAATTGTTAACAAAAAGGAAATGATTATTATCAAGAAAAAACTATAATTTTTTAACTTTCTTACATATACATATATAATACATATATAATAGAATAAAATTATTCTACTTTCGATAAATATATAGTAATTTATCTTTATCTACGTCATTTAAAGTCATTTATCTTTATCTATGAATATATAATCGTTTAATAGGTTAAAAATATCTGTAATTATAGTTATAAATATAGATAATATCATAAAAAGATAGAAGTAGAAGATAATAAGTATATTACTTAAGTATTTTTATATGTTAAATAATTAAACAAATTAATTTTAACTTATTTCATTTTATAAAGATTTTTATGATATTCATATTTTGTTATATTCTCATTTTAATAATAATAATAATATTTTTATTTAATTTGATTTAAAATAAAAAACTGAGAAATAATCGTATAAAAATTAAAAAAAAAAAAAAAGAAATAGAGATTTATTGAAAATTTAATAAATTTGTTAATAATAGTTATGCAAAATTGTTAATAGTAGAATTGAACACGGTATCTTTATAAGTATAAATTATTACTTTTTCACATAATATACATATATTATATTAATATGTTACTTAGGCAATTAATATACTTTTCTAAACATTATAATATTTAAATATTGTTATTATATATATAAATAAAATTTCAAAAAGATTTATATTTTATTATATTTTTTTATTACTATTTTTTTGTAGTTTGATATAGTCATAATTTTAAAAGTTTAAATTATTTATAACATTTATTTATAACATTATATTATAATTTTAAAAAAACTATAGAAATTTTTTCATATTTATTTTGTATAATGATATTCAATATTCAATATTATTCAATCAAATACAATTCTAAATACATCTTATTTAACTAAAATGTTTCTTTTGAAAAACTATATTTCTTAAAACACTGAAAATAATTTATAAATCTAAAATTGTGTAAAAATTTTTTTAGAACAAATTATAATTATCTCTAAAAGATTGTTTAATATCCATAATTATTTGTTATAATACTTAACACTAAAAAGAAACATTTCTTAGAAATTTGTAAAATCCAAATGAAAATTTTAATCATAATATTGATTAACAATAAATCTTATTATAAAATTAAAATTATATTTATAGAACATTATAGCATTAATAAATCATTTTAATAGAATATTGAAAAATATAATTATATTTAAATAAACACTATTTAAAATATTTATTTAATTTTACAGATAACTACCTGTGCTATTATCGATATGATAGATAGCATATTTGCCCATCAAGCAACAGTTACCAGGTGGGAAAAATCACAGGCAAATTCCGCTATTATACCAAACATGTCGAACTTATATTCAGTTTTTTAAAATTATATTTGATTTTCGTATTTAAAATTTTACTTATAAATATTTAATATATATATTTATTCGCAAATATGTATATTTCATCATATGAATAGATGTGAAGCTATTGCTATATTAATATGTTATTTACAAATTGTAATTTTTTTTTTAATGTAAATAATAAATTTTTTTTTCTTTTTTATTTAGAAAATAAAATTTGTAACAAAATTGAATGAGACTAAGACATTATTCATAATCATTCTGTTTTTAATTTTTCGAATTCCGTGATAGATGTCACGAAATAGTTTCGAAATGTTGAGTTCGAAATTCTGCATTTGTGCAAATAATAAAATGTAAATAAAACGATCGACAAAATAACAATTATTGTTCATATGCATTTAATTTCCATTAATTTACTTTTTTTTTATTTGCAAATAGAAAATCTCGAGTCTCTAAATTTCAATCTCAATTTTTGAAAAAAAAAAAAGACAAAAAATCTGATAAATTGTTATAAAGAGGACTGAAACGAAAGATTATCATTTTTTAGATTTTACTTTGAATTTAATGGGAAATCATTTTTATTATTATTTTATCATTATGTTTTAAAATATATAATAATAGTAGTAGTAGTTATATATGTATATTCCAATCATCGTACAATTATTATATATAACTCATTATTACAATTATTATATATAACTCAAAAAATAAATTTTTCATTCATTTTATTATCAATTTTTGATTATTATCATTATATTCTAATTTGATTAAAAAAACTTAATAAAATCTATCTCATCTAATTTATATAAGTGCTCTATTTAATATTCAAGAGATTTTTAATTTTTATCTTATCTATTTGCATTAAATTTTTGGTTTATATTTTAGATGTTTTGTTTATATATTTTTATTTTTTTTTATAAGAAATACATATGGAATGAGTGCAAGAACAGTTTAAGGAATTGCGGCAAAAATACTAGATTAAAAAAATTTTTAATTTTATGTTAATTAATTATGAATATTAGTATATTAGCATACATAAATAAAATCAATAGAAATTTAAAACAAAATTTTGAAAAGTCTTTTATTTTCAACAAATTTAAAATCTTTTTCAATTATATTTATTTTTTAATTATATTTTTTAATAAATTTTCTATGTACACTAAATATACAAAAATTATTCAATCTAATTATAAATCTAAGCATATATTTTTTAAAATATATTTTTTTTCATTAATCATGAGCAAGAAGACGATAAGTATCTTATTTACTCTACTTTGGCTGTGTCCATAAAAAAATATATTTATTTTTTATATCATTATAATATTTCTATGGAACAATATTCCACTGATGTTGTAAATTTGGTTCTGCGATCTGTAGCCAAGATACAAATTAAAGAATATATATAATATAATATATTTTTTTCATAAAATCCTTTTATATTAAACATTTATTTTACCTTTGATGTAAAGTCATCAATGCATGCTAAACGAATACGAGCTGCAGTTGCAGGTGCATCTAATTGAAAGTAATTTTTAAGATTATAGTCTGTGCGAGCAGATTTAATAGCTTCTTTTATTGCAAAAAATATAGAGGATGCAAGAAACAGTGGAGGTTCTCCTACAGCCTAAAAAAAAAAATAAAATAATAATAAAAAAAATTAACAAAAATAATAATTTTTTTATTTTTTTTTAAAATTACCTTGGATGAATAAACAGCTCTAGGATTTGAGGCACCTTTTAGTAAGGATACATTAAATATTTCTGGAATATCTGCAAAACCAGGTATTTTATATGCACCTGGACCTTTAGTCGCAATAGCTCCATTTCTTAAATATACCATTTCTTCCAATGTGAATAAACCATATCCTTGCATAAAAGCACCTTCAATTTGTCCTATATCAATCGCAGGATTTAAACTTTCACCTAAATCCATTACAATATCAGTTTGTAATACCTATACATAAATATTATTGTTTAATAATTTATATTATAATCTAAATCTAAATTTAAAATCTATATTTATATATTTATGATTATTATATATTATATTATATAATTATTATATAATTATGATTATTAATCATGAATGTGAAATAATTTTAATATTTTTATTTTAAAAGATATAATATTTGTATATAAAATATTAAGTGGATATATTTTTTATATTTACTTGATGATCTCCAGTCAAACAATCAATTTCTACTTCTGAACATGCAACGCCATACGTAAAATAATTAAATGCATTTCCTGTATTAGTTTCAAACGAATATTGTATGTCGGGAGTTTTATAAAAACCAGCAGCAGAAAGACTAATTCTTTCCGAATAAGCTGTTGTCACCCATTCTTCCCATGTACCATTAGGATTTTTATCTATCACTGGTTTTAGGCGCTCCATAATTTTATTGCAGGCATTCTGAAATTTTAATAAGATTTAAAATGAATGTTTAATTTAATTATAAATATATTATCATTTGCTACTAAAATTTAATTTAATAATAAAAAAATAATAATAATAAAATAGTTTGAACAATATAAAAATTTATATATATATATATATACACTAAGTAAGAGGATACAGATGAATAAAAAAAAATATTTTTACATACCATAATAGCCATACCATTTAAATCTGAAGAAGCACTAGCTGCTGTTGCAGATGTATTTGGTACTTTATCGGTAGCTGTTTCCATTATATGTATTTTATCAGGTTTTATTTTTAATGATCTACTTGCTACCTAAATATAAAAAAGAAAAAAAGAAAAGTAATATAATAAGTACTTGTTATTTACAATATTTACAATACAATATAATATATAATACTTATTGCAGATTATTCTTCATTTGCATACAGTAAAATTGTATTACTTCTGATATTAAAAATAATTCTAAAAAATTATATCTAGAACGTAAATTTTCAGATTTAAAAAATGTATTTTCAATTTCAATAATCATAACAATTTGAAATTTTTTTTGATGGATCATGTTCTAGATATAATATACTTTAAATGATTAATATAAATAAAATATAATAAGAGTAAAGACAGAAAGTAAAATTTATAATTATTATGTTTTGAAATTTATAATTATAATTACAATAAAAA